ATCATATATCCCCAAGGGTCCCCCTAATCCTAGCTCTGGCTTGGCAGGGGAAGCACTCACTTTTCCGCGACGCGCTGGAGGGCAGTCGCCAGGCCTTTGGTGACTTCGGCTTTAGGATTTTGGGTCTTGGGTTTAGGGGGAGTTTAGGGTTTAGGGTTTAGGATTTTGGGTTTAGGGTTTAGGGGGTTTGGGGTTTAAGTTCTCGGGTTTGCGTTGTTCGGGTTTACAGGTTTACGAGGGTCTTCAGATTTGTTGCATCTTCTTATAGACACTACCTGCTTGTTGATGGCCCGGTTAGTGAAATGCAGGAGATACAGGGGACTTTGATGAGAAACTAAGCCTGGCGTTTAGTGTTGTTTGGTCATTTTCGGCATCCCTGACATGCGCTGTTAAGCTGTGAAAGGTTGTCTTGGACACTTGGACAGGCATTTGATGTTGTATTGAGCTTAATCCGGGCAGACAGGCAAGCTAACATGCCACTGCGAATCTTGCACCCTGTCACTGACAAGTGCCCGGGGGCCAGTCACTCGGTAGTTCCTTCCACCACATGTCCAAAGTTCTGCTTTCCACATCCATCAAAAGCCACTCCAGCCTTTTTGTGCAGGTGTACAAGGGCCTCTATAGGGGTGGTTGTCAAAATTATNNATAATACGGCACCTATTATTTAGAGTGCCCCCAAAGGGACCGTATTTTGACAACCACCCATAGATAGTTGGAGCAGTAACACGAACTGTTTCGACTGGTTGGCTGCTCGGCCACGAAATCAGGAGCTTCTGCTGTGGCGCAGTCGACAAGACGCCTCCCCAAAGCAGAGACCACCGCCGATCTAACCTCAAACTAGCCATTCCGGCTCCTCAAACACCACAGCCCATGCCTTAAACCTCGATGGCTACGGTTTTCTTTGGAAGGGCTGCCAGACGCTTGAGGGGGTGCCGCAAAACTGGCCTAACAGAAGATGCGACGACGACGACTTTTGCCCATGCTGCTGCGACCACATCTCAGGCCCTCAGTACTCAACCACCACCCGGTCACCGAGTGGCCGAATAAACGGCGGAGGCCCTTAATGAGTTTATGAACTATGATCTTACCGCCTGAACTGAACCTCGCGCACCTAAGCAAAGGATTGCGGTGAGGTAGCTAGGCATCCAAACCCATAGACACGATACAAAAAGCTGAATTTCTCACAACTGAAAATGGCAGGAATTGAACCGAACAGGTTGTTCGAGAAAAGGCAGTTCAGCATCTCAGGCTAAATGCCCAAAACAGGTCTCACAGCTCAGGCCGGACCTTAAAAACCTGAATCCAAATCCTAAAGTCGAGAAGGCCTTGGGAGACAGCCATCCCGACACCATCGTGAGCCTCATCAACCTCCGCTCGTTCCTCGAAGTGCTTTGGATCGGATCAGGAATCCTAAACCCTTACACCCTAGACCCTAAACCAAGCACCCGAAAAATTGTGAGAAGCTGTTTAATGATTGGGGTCCACACATGAATTATTCAGCTCATTTCAGCTCAGAAAACAGATACAGAGCCCTTGCAGGTCCTGGGGTTTCAGGTTACAAGAACCCGAAACCCTAAACCCTAAACCCTAAACCCTAAACCCTAAACCCTAAACCCGAATCCAAGAGAGGAATTGGAGCTCAAGGGCTGTTGATCTCAGGAGCAGGGTCAGCGACGCGACGCCAAGGAGCTCTTCCAAGAGGCTCTGATAGCACGGAGCTTCCAGAATTTATAGCACACTATAACATAGATAATATATACACATGTATAGGTACATACATACATACATATATATACATACATACATACATACATACATACATACATACATACATACATACATACATACACGAAATCCATACATCCAATCATTCATACATACATACATACATACATACACGAAATCCATACATCCAATCTTACATACATACATACATACATACATACATACATACATACATACATACACACATACACACATACACACATTTATAACGACATCTATGTCTATATCTATTTCGACGTCTATATCATATCCTTCTCTATGTGCATATATATATATATATACATATATATATATATATATATATCATACCTATATCCCTATCTATGCCTTTATTTATATCTATGTCTTTTTTTCTTGGTCTCTATCCCTACCTCTATCTCCACCTCTGCCTCTACCTCTATCTCAATATCAATCTCTCTCTCTCTCTCTCCCTCTATCTCTATATCCATCTCCGTCTGTACCTGTATCTATTTCTGTATCAATCTCTACAGAAATAGAGAACCCTATATCTATATATAGATCTATCTCTGTCTCTCTCTCTCTCTCCATATATATATATATATATATATATCTGTATCTCTATATATATATATACACCCTTTTTATGTATTTATTTATTTACTGGAAGAAGCCCACTTACTAATTCTTACGCGCATAATCACAGAAGCACTGGGTTTCCTGACACACACATCTGTGAGTCTATGTTACAAAAACTCAAGAATGGCCATGGCTTGTTTAGAGCAAGGAGCGGTTGGATCAGCAAGGTTTTGAGTTGGAGAACTGAAAGGCTATTTTGATAGTAGGCATGGGATGGTCGAATGGTAGTGTAGCCTTCTACTAATGACTGCCCCAGTTCAGGCTTCAAGGCTTTGTTCTTTGTGGTGGTGCATTTCCCGACATCCAAGGTTAGCATAGTGGTTTTATATTGGATGGGCTGAAAGATACGGGTGTCGGTTATGATTTCAGAGTTTTGTGGTTGCTAGTCATGATTTGGGTTAAACAGGCAAAGGTTGATTTTGGAGACTGGTTGCAGAATGGGGCAAAAGGATTGGGAAGAGGTCTATTGTTCAGGCGCAGTGTGAACTCGCCAATGCCCCTTGACCTAAACCCCAAACCCTAAACCCGAAACCCAAAACCCCAAACCCGAAACCTTAAACCCCAAACCCTAAACCCGAAACCCAGAACCCCAAACCCGAAACCCGAAACCCCAAACCCTAAACCCTAAAACTCGCAGAGGCCCTGGCCACTAGTCAGCGCGAAAAACTCCCCGACCTGGCCCGCGCTGCTCGCGACTACTTGAGGGGCCTCTAGGTTATGGGTTTGGGGGTTATATGGGTTATGGGTTTAGAGTTTTAGGGGATATGGGCAGTCTAGGCCGTCAGCCACCTCTTGAACCAAATGTCCACCCTTTGTGCTCTAGATCGACGATGGGAACCCGTAAACCCTACAGAAACCCTAAACCCTGAAGCCCCCCCACCCTAGAGAACCTAAACCCTAACACCCTGAACCCTTACAACTACGTTTCATCATGCGCTGAAGTTTCACGTCTCCCTTGGCTCGTGACCTGTGCGCCCGAAGAGAAGGAGCTCGGCGAAAAGGCTTTTGCATTGGGGCTTAGGGTTTGGGGTTTAGGTTATTATTATTGTAAGACTTGCATATCTTACTAGTGCGATAGTCGATGGTAACTGTTAGTTTTAACTGTTTTAACTGTTCATGCTAATGCAATCGATTAGTGCATAGGGTTTCCGGTTCATATTGCTTCGGGTATGGCAAGACCTGTAGCATGTAGTAGTTTACTACAGTATAGTACCCTCCAAGTGGTGTTATGAAGATGTCTCTCATTACAGTATGTCGACTGGCCGTTTTGTCATCAGTTTGAAGTTCGTTATGCTATGAGAAATACGATAGTCCGACGATAGTGATTGCGGCCACTGATGGTTCGGGCGCTTTCGGTTTTTGGCCTAAGTAAGGTTCATGGTGCAGGGTTGCTGGGGTGTGAGGTTGAGGCGCTGAGGACTCTTGG